TGGACTGTTTGCCTATCTGTCTGCCTCCCTCCTCCCCGCTAGCACTGCTTCCGCCGGCGCGCCGGCCGGCGGACTATGAAAGCAGCCATTTAGCGGCATGTCAACGGGCTTGCACTCAGTCTATCATAAGATCGCGCTATTGCACTCATTGCTTTCAAGTCGCGGTCGCTGTCAATAGATGGACATCGCCACAGCTTTTTCCTCAGAGTTTGAGAATATTGAAAAACCTTTTCAGATAGCAACGAGGCGAGCGATACGAAAAATAAAAAGGCTACGTGAGTGTGACTTAAGCTGCTTTTGAAAAAAAATTGCGTTCAGAATTCCATTCCCAATTGCGAAACTCGTTTTCTAGTCTGAGTGTTAATTGAAAATCGACTACTCTTCGATCGTTTCGATGGACATGCAAATAACTGTCGTACCTTCAAATCCCTGTCTCCCCAAAGCCCATCGTTCCTCATGTTTGTTTTTCGACCAAACTCGAAACTGTGGATTCCTCTTCGCAGCTCATGTAATGGAAAACTTCGAGCATGATCTTTTTTGCACACGCTGCGTGTTCATCCTGTTTGCGTAGGAGCCACGTCCCACAGGCATTAATTAAGAAGGAAGTCGTAATTGAAGGACGGTAACGGGTCCAGATGTTTTTGCTGTCCTCGAAACTACCTCTAGATCGGAGGATGTACAAGTAGCTGGAGCATTCGAAGATCTTCTATTTAGCGCAAAAATAGCACCAGTTATGTATCGGTTCATTCCTCATAGCTCTCGTGTAAGGGTAAAAACACCAACTTGCATTAGCTTCAAAAAGTAATTGCACAAAACAACAAGGCTGCTGTGGGCAGATCGGTCAACATTCAACTGGGAATGCTGACCGATCTCTCTACAAGCGCTGCCTCAATGAAGGGGTTATGAGACGATTGGAAAGCTCGGACTCGATGGGTGTGCTTCGGTGCGTGCGTCGGTCAAAACTAGATCACGCCGCAGCCGTCGCATCGTCTGCTTCAACCCGCGATCTTTGAGAAACGTCGCACTTATCTGTGAGCATGCGTTTGCTCCATGCAGTCAGCCAAAGGGAAGACAACATGGACAAATGCAAATTATCGCTCCACTGACCCTTAGTGGTACCGTAATGTTATGTCAAGACCTCAGTTGGGGTGCGCCGCGCGCGAAGTGGGCGGGGTGACCTACTTTGGACGGACGCGCGCAACGGACGTTCTCCGGACTCGACAGCACCTCTTCGCGAGGCGCCTCTTCTCACGTCGACCATGACCTCCGAAAATCTGTCCATGAGGTTACTGTGAGCTCACGGAGCATTCTTATATTCACATGGTGTAGGTACACCTTGGCTCCTGCGAAGTTTCAATTCCCGATTCTTTCTCACCGGTATTCAAAACCTTCTTTAAAACTAAGAACTCAAGACGTAACGGCATCCTGTGCTGTCATGATGCCTCAGAGTCTTGTGACTGTGTAGACATATTGTAATTAACCTTCTCCAGAACCATTCTTGCATGGTAGAGTAGAAAAAAAGGATTTGTTCTAGAAAAAGAATCATATGTACGAACTGCCATAGACATCTTTTCTATCCTTTGTTTACTTCCACTAATGAACGAGATGTGGATATTACCTGTTGAAGCAGTTATAAATGGAGGATGTAAGTTGGCATATACCAATGTTAATTCATATATGAAAGTAGGAATTCTAGAATTCTATTCTGTACTTTCAGTAGCATTTATTGTGGCGTATGTGATCATACTTGTGCTATTCGTACATCCCACCCTATTTCTTGTTTTATTTGTTTCACAATGTACACAAAGAGGATTGGTAAATGTGTTTCATTTGTATGGTCGTGTATGCAGAGGTACGGTTCCCTACATACATTAGATTTGTCATAATCAGAATTGTTCAGTATTATGTACACATTTGGGCGGAGCTAGTGTAGGGGCAAATAACGCGCTATCACAGAGCATTGTCACGGGTTCGAATCCCACACCGAAGTCGAATACTGAGCGTGCCTTGAAAATGAGATTGAACGCCTAGTAGTTTTGGGGGACTCGGGGAAAGGAGCATTAAACACACCCAATTTTTTTGTCGCAAAACCTGTGCGAGCTCCAAGATGAGAACTCTGCACGGCTCGACCGAGTATAGTGCATCGGTACTATTGATCCAGAGTGGAAATTGTACCGATAAGAAAACATAAACAAACTTCCGATAAATAATCTAAAAAACTCGGTGTTTCTGAGTGAGAAGTTGAGGATCTTTCAGGGTTTGGTTATGGCTACGTAGTACTAATTTTCATGGCTCAAATGAGTATATTCCATCAGGGACAACTTCTTATCAAACATGGTACTGTTGTGTACAACGACAGTCTATCTATTGGTATCTGTAGTGAAAACTTTGTGAAAAACTGTAAGATTTCAATCCTTCTGACTATCTTTGATCTCTTTGAGCATCTTCTACTTTAGCCTTAACAAAAGAACCCAGTCCAACTGATACGCAAATCCCGTGAAAACTGCACCAGCCACTAGAACCCCCTCCCTTGGGCCTCCTGAGCCCGCAGTGGAGATTTGGCGGAAAGGGAAAGTCCCGAAAGAAAGGCTCATCTGAGCCAAGAGACGATCGCGGGAGCTTTCTCCAGGAGATATGAAAAATCCCTTGTCTCTGGCCATCAACCCTTCTACTTTTTTTGGAACTATAATGAAACAAGTCATCTTATCCATTTCTAGACATCCAGCCAAATGAATAGATGCGTGTCCCAGATGTCCTGTCATTTGAAAGACCGTCTAAATCCCTAGTCCTTTGAAGGATCAGTGATTTCGGTATTGCAGGGCACGAATGCTCCTCGGTTTTTTTGGATACTCACTGCAGGGCAGCTAAGATGAACTCCAACTTCTATGCTGAAGGATTCTGTTGGAACAGACCAATGAAGTCAGCGAAAATAAGCAACTCGGCCAATTCCTACGTGAGGTGAGGTTTTCAGGATAAAACCCCCCGCTAACCCAATCAGAAATGCCATTTGAGCCGCCAAGAAATTCTCTGAGTCTTCTTTTACTACGCTTTACACACACCTTTCTAGTACTGGTAGCAAGCAATCAGATCAGTTTCATTGAACATAAGTTAGTTCTTTGGAAATCTTATCATTTAAAATTGTTTGGCAGCTCTATGAGTGAGATCTCCAAAAATCTTAGATTTCTTCGCTGCAGTTTGGAATTATCTCCCACCCCACATGAGCTGAGAGGAGCATCCTACTATGAATAATTCGCTAAGTGAGTCCATTGGTCTGTTGGTGCGTGCGTGTGAGTGTGGGTTTATCCATGCGTGTGTTTGACCGGAAACTCATGGATTCTTTTCCCATAGTTCTAGAGCATTCAAAGCGGTAGAGGTGCAGGCGGCAATGAGAACACTGATAGAAGAAATACTGGGCTCTCCCCACAAGAAATGGGGCCTGCGGGAAGCGAGTGATCGAGGAAATTCTGAACTCCTACTCCGTAGACCCAAAGCGCCCAACTAAGATAGGAAAATCTTTCCCAAAAAACGAAAATCACCATTCAAGGTGCTGTTCTACTGTAAATGCGGAGGGCGCTACATACTCAGTGACTCCTACAACCTATCACTCATCAGTCCTTATCACTTGTTGTCAGCCCCTGCAACCAGGAACCCATCACCATCACGTCATCTACCGAAGAGCCAAAGTTTCACTGTATATACACGAAAGTCGTTAAAGGCCCAATGACATTCGCCTTCCCTAGCTCTTTATCAGCCCCTGTCACTTGCTCTCAGTCCTACTTACCGTCCACTTATGGTCGCATAAGACCCCGCTCTCCTTGCAAAAGTGCCAAGTTTACCTCTTTATCTGAAGAACATAACGGATGCAGCCTTATATAAACCGCTATTAGTTCTTGTCACTAAGCACGCACGATAACCAAGGTATCAAGTTTAGGCTGTTGACTGGGAGGGCGTAACGTAGTCAACGACTCTTATCTTCTATGGCTCCTTATCAGCTCCTATCAGCCTTTCCTATTCTATCAATTATCTTCGGTTCCTCTACATCCCACGTCACCAACTAAAGTGCCACCAGGGTCACTGGTAGAGAACTACGCTAATTGTAAGCACTTGTCGAATGTCGAAAGCAGCTTAAACCACACTGATTTTAAGCAGATAAGCGTTATGTTGCAATGAAATCCTATTTGGGATAATCGCCAGAATGAGTGGGCAAAAAGCTGTTGCAGTTGCACTAGTCAACGATTCAGTTCTAAAAAAACAAAAAAATTTGTTTTCTTCCTGCCTGCACTGGATCGCGGTAGAATCGTTTCGTCGGAAATCCTTGGACGTTAAAGACATCAAAAAGGCGATAACGTACTCTGTTCAGATATATCACAGAAGAACGTGGTGGTGACGGTATCGATTTTCCGGTAAGTCTACTACACTTGATCCCCAACGGTAGTGATTCGAATGAACTTCCTCTAAAAATGTATGAATGTATCTCACACCGGAGATTTCGCCAGAAAAGTCGTTCTTTATCCTCGTCCTATCCTCACTTTTGAAGATGCTTGGGCGCAGTGCTGCATTGCTAGCAGTTGTGACTTTGTTGGCTATGAATGGACCTTCGCTTCTTATCGCTCTTTTAGCCATTTTAGGTAAGCTTGTCTGCCTTTAGAACAACGGTGCTCTGTTTCTCCTTACGATTTTCTTTAGCGGTGATATTCCTCATAATGGCAATACTCGACAACGTTCACATTTTCACTAGTGGCGCGTTCTCTAAACTAAATGCTCTGACAGATTTCCGTCTTCTTGGAGATCCTGAGGTGCACTTCCTATAATACTTTGTTTTTTGTTTGGAATCATACCCTACTCAGGACGTTCTAGTCCATCCGTCTTATGTGCCAACACGCAGTGAACAACCTTTTCCAGGTGTGGATCATAGCTTTCCGGCTGGCGTTCTCGGCATCGGGGTTGGGAGAAGTGACAGTATTCTGCATGTCATCATTTCGAAACCCTCGTGGGAACTGTTTTACGGTGAGTACTAAGTACCAAAGCGAATGGTTAGCATAAGAATTGCTGAGAGACTAGAGGAAAAGTATGAATCTGAGAATATGGTTGGAAAGGGCATGATTTTCCTACACTCGCTTGCGCTTCCTCAGGAAAATGATATACTCCTGGTCGAATCCCTTCAATTCCAACTTTAGTGATGTAGTGACAAGTAGCGCACAATAACCCACGCATGTTCTCAGCTTTCAATTCCGCGTCGATATATGTTGGGCCGACTGAGCCTTCCACCCTTCGGGGTCGGTTACTTGGTACAATACTCGTCTGCGAGGTTAAGAGCACTGATTTGCACATCGGCTGGCCACAGGAAGTCATTGTACACGCCACATACGCACTAATTACGCCATTACTATTCTGAATGGAAGGCGAATGCGGGGCGCATTCCAAGAGCTGAACCAATGATGCTAAAGAGGCGCATCCCTTTGACGGAATTTGTGAATGTCCCAAGACTTTTAAATTTGAATTTTATTTCCCTTATTCAGAATCGTTTCTAGGGACCAGTATAGACCCGCGTAACAGGCCCCATCCTTCTCAACACACCGGATACTGCGTTATATGTAGACGCTGGGTACAGCGCACTAGCCCTTTCAACTGCACTTTCACCAGCATATGAAGCGGTTGATGGAGATGGGCTCAACCGACTACAAGGGTTTCTTATTATGGATGAAACGAAACTCCTACATGATGTCACTTTTAGAAAGTTGACTGCCTTTATGTATAAAATCTAACAAAAATCATGTCTAATATAAGTTCGCCTTTCTAGATTGGGATAATGCCAAGTGGCCTGTAGTTGTAATTCTCGCTGTTTATCGTAGAGGCCAAATACGTACTCGTAATCGTCACAGTATTTTTTCACATCAGAAAATGTTATAATGTCTTTCAGACCGCAACTGGTGTTATCATTGGCAAAATACTCATCGCCTTTCTCGGAGTGCTTTCCCTAACGGGCCATCTATCTCTATTACAACCCTTTCGGCCAGAAATTACGAGAGATATTTCATCTTTTCACAGAGGTATTTTTAAGTTTATGCTGCTAAAGGACGCAAAGATGGCATATCATGAGAAAGACCACATCAGCACGATCATGAAGGAAAGTCAGGAACGGTTGCGGAGTGGCCGCATTCATAGTTCACGTTTTGCCGTTGGTCGACGGGCGACAACCAGCGGGTGGGGCGGGGTCGATCGTATGACACGTCGTCTCGCTACTCGGATGCGCTTCGTCGCGCGCGTCCGTCGAAACTAGGTCACGCCGCAGCCGTCGCGTGCGGCGGGTCAGCAAGCGACACTTGACAGATGTCGCAGTTGTCAATAGTGCATACGATTTGCGCTTGGTCCACAGCACTCAGCTCCAAGAGAAGATAACATGGACAAATGCATATCATTCGCTCCACTGACACTTGGTGGTACTGTAATGTCATCTCGAGACCTCAGTTGGATGCGCCGCGCGCGAAGTGAGCGGAATGACCTACTTTCGACGGACGCGCGCAACGGACATTCTCCCTCGCTACTCAATGCAGTGCTCCTCAGACAATGTAAAAGTCGGGATTTGTTCCCGTACAGAAAAAAGTCAGGCATGCCAAGTTTTTCGAAAGGCAAAGAGCTTTGAACAAGTCGTAAAAGGATCGTGACATAATCGCATTTCGACACACATCATTTTCCCTGGGAACTAAACTCGTAGAATGTGGTCTCTTAGAGTGGCGGTACTTCTCCCCGAATTCCTGCGGTAGTTGCGGCGACTACCATAGCCTTCATCCAGAAATTCAAACCTGGTACAGAACGATCGGGTCCGGTCACGACACGATTTTCGGGGAGAAACTACCACACCCGGTCTCCATACATACATATGTATACCTTTATTCTCCCGCACCATTGATCCTAGTCAAGGTTTTCAGTTCGTTTGGAAGTTTTTAGTGCTATTGAAAGTTGAAGTTGCTCCAAAAGCACTCTCTCAAAATGGTCCCTGGCTCTTTAACATGAATTCATGAAAACTGTAATTATATTTTGCGGGTATACGAGTATTTCGCATTGCCATTCAGATCTTATGTACTACCCTGGACTGATGGCAGAAGTTTACAGTATGTTCAAGAACTATTCTAGCCAATTATTTGATCACGCCGAATGGATGTTGATATATCATATTACTACCTCTTTCGGTATGTCTTGAACTCGCGCTGTACGTGTGCGATAGTGCACAACGTGCCATTGCACCAGCACCGAGAAAAAATAAGCGAAAACCGTCCCATCACCCACCCAGCTTTGCCTATGGTCTCTCATCAATGCGTGGGATGCGTGGTATATGAGATGGATGGTTGGAGGTTTTGCTGCTTTCAAGTGATGAATTCACGGCTTCGCAGTCGACATCGCTCATGAGCGGGGAAATCGACGGTACACACAAATGCGTGGGAGCTTAATACGGTCATTGCATTTCGATGATGTGAGACCATTAAGAAAGATTCGTTATGAGGGGTTCGGTTTCGCCCTTGGGGCAACATGCATTCAAAGTGCCACGCCGACCATGGATGGGAATAAATTACGTGGGCCCAAGTTATGTTCCAGCCTGGGGGAGGGGGGGGGGGCTGGAAAACGCCAGGCAACTTTACAATTTTGTATTCATTTTAAAAGCAGCGCACTCTCTTCCTAAAAAGTGGCTTCATGCATTCATCGATTTCAATTTCAGCTGCATTCTTCATGATCTTGGCTATAGCACGGAAGCAGGGAGCTAATAAGTATATTGAAAGAGCCATTTTTGTCGCAGCCTATGCGATAGTCTGCATGTTCTACTTCCTTATCATGTCGTTAGAGGTAAATTTTATTTGAAAACAAACCTTGGAATACAGTGTCTTGATGGTTTTTGAGTTTTTTTCAGGGGCTTCGAACTTTTGCAACAAGTCACCGAACTTTAATTTTGACGTGTTCACTCTATTTATATATGGCAGCAACAATAAGTATACTTACTTTTGGATATGGTTAGTTCAAAGTGAGAAAATCAGCAAAACAATGATTAGAATTGTTGCCATCTACAATGCTCACGGGTGCTTCCCGTGCGGGGCCATGATCACTCCTGCCTCTGGGCGGTAACGGATATTACGAAATTATGGAGAGTCCCTCGTTTCTTTACAGTTCTATGTTGCTGGACCCTTATCTTAGGGATAAATTGTAGCGATTGTGCCTACAGTCTCCGGAAACGGTGACAGATTCGGTGGATACGCACTTATTAATAAGCACCGTGAAATGGAGTGTGGGTACTTCTCCCGGAAGGTTGCGTGGCGCTCGCGGCAGCCGATCGCGCGCATCGCGCGTTCTGAAGGGCAAGGTTTGAACTCCCTGTGAAAGAATACGATAGTTACCACGGAGCTACTGTCGCCTGCTTGGGGAGAAGTGCCGCCATCCCGTGAATTCCACACACTGTCATAGACACTGGTATTATTGTAGATACGTTCAGGTATCGCAGAACATCACAGAGACATTCGCGAGGTATTTCGACAAAAGTATAAAAATTTTATGGCAGTACGTGAAGGATGCCATGTAGTGTTGTACAGCTTAATTCTATTGGCCCTAGTGGTAAGTGCTGGGAAAGCAAAGCAGAGAATAAATTGGAATTTGATTTATTACTTTTAAGATCATTCAAATATACGATTTGATCGTAATAGTTTCATTGGAACAAGAGAAGATCGATTTATTGGTGCGTTCTGAGAGTTTCCAAAAAAGGAGCTACTCTTTTTACCCGGAACCACTGAAGAGCATCCCTCCTTTGCTTTGTGGTCCAAGCAAAACATTACAGATATCACAGAACAAAACCAACGATGTAGTTCAAGAATGTCTTTCGATAGTGTTGGCCCTGGTTCCCATACTTCTACCAGTGTTCTTCTTCTTTTACGCATGGTTCAGGAAGAAGGTAACAAACAAATTTATGAAAAAAATGTTCACTTCAACTGGCTGCATGGTCAGCATTTTGAAGCTGACGAACAAAATTCCATTTGAATTCAAAAATAAATAACTATGGTAGAAAGATTTTTTAGGGTAAGCCCAAGGCAAGCTCCGATGCTCAAAAGCCCACCCGGAGACGTGCGTTAACCTTACTTAGTAATTTTTGAACTCATCTAGGCTTCCTCCAAACTTTTTCTTTTTACAGGCCCAAAAGATAAGAAAACAGGAAAAAAGAAAAGTAGCGACAAAAAAACAGATGACCATTCAGCAGACAAAGGCTCTGATAGTTTAGATGAAGAGTTCAAAAAAGATGAAGGGAAGATGTCTAGAGCTAGGTCAAGCACTGATGCGTCCACTGCGTCGGGAAGTAAGGAAGGAGGACATACAAGGCAAAAGAATTCCTGAATCGCCAAGAGACGAATGAACGGAAGGCGACCAACCTTTTTGAGCTAATGTTCACTAAGCTAAAATAGATTTTCATCATGCACTACTTAAACTTTATTATTCGAATGTACTACAATATGAGTTTCTATTAATCGAATTCACCCACTACAATCGCGAATTTAATCGTGAAAATGTACCCTTTTAAAAACGTACCCATTATTTCATGAATGATTTAATAAAAAGTCCTGTAAGACCTGCTCTCATTTGCAATCAGAAGAATCAAAGGAGAAAATCCTCTCGCTAAGCTACCCTCGATGTCATACTTTTTTTCAGTAGGCTTGGAACAGTAATGCCCCTTCCCAGTCAGTGTTTTTTGAGCAGTTCTCTTAAACAAGACGTTCAAGAGACCACTAAGGTAGAATTTCGGTGAAAGGGCTTTTTCAAGAGTGGGAAACACCAGCCTGTACTTGTCTTGTAAAACTCCTTTCCAAGAGATAGATGCTATTCATATCTGATGGTCCACCACAATTTGAAATACGCCTCAAGCGAACGCTTGGCAAAAGATTCGCGTGACCTGCTTACAGCGATGGTAAAGACACTGTGTTTCAACATCAATGTACACCATTGAGGCTTACATTGACATTTGCTTCATACAATTAGTTCAGCTAAAATACATGGCTGATGCTCCACTCCTCTTTTCTATACAAATGATTCACTTCTGATCACATTTTCAAAACTTTCAAAAAGCAATCCACCCCACTATGCAATCGTTACAATTTCAATACGAAGCGCTTGCGCTTACTTCCGACGAAATCGAATGCGATCAAATCTCGCCCGACTACTGTTTGAACTACTTTCCCGCGCATGTATAATATTCGAATTCAAGCGTTAGAGTAACGTGGCAGTCTCGGGCGCTCATCTTATACAGCGCCTGCGCTTAGCCTTTTTCATTGTGAGGAGTGTTTTCTCTGTTTTTAATTTCTTGTTGCATTGTCCCCGTTAATTTCATTATGTATTCGTCAGATGTCTTTGAATTTCGTGACGGGTTGTTGCTTAAGTACTCAGCTACCACCCATAAGTTTTCATTTTCAATTTGAAAAAAATTATTCCTGTTCACTTCCGGTACTCAAATTGGAATTCTCGTACCCTGCCGAGATCCATTACTACCCAGCTACCTTCCCAGTTGCCGTACTACCTTCAACTATAATATATCCGAAGTGGTACTCTTTCTTTTCATCTTCTATAAATTTTTACTGGAGCAGTTTGTTCCTCTCGGTCGAACTCGTTTCTTTTGTCACATGTTTCCCAAACTAATTTCTATGGAAATTTTTCGAGAGTATTCCAACCTTTAACACAGTAGGAATGACCATATGCGATATTTATGTTGCCGTTTCTTCATCTATATTGAATTAGCAGTGTAACAGACGTTTCAAAAAAAGTGAAGTTTTCTACTTTTGAAGATGGGCCTATAAAGATGTAATGGAGATGTACTGTTAAGTCTGGGTGGGATGAAAGTCCTCCGATCAAGAGGTCACGTAACATGTGATCTCCAATCCATCGAGCCGCGCGGTTAAGAAAACGACAGGCAGGCAGTCGGCTTTCTGTGAGGCCAACGAGTGGCCATCCTCTCGCTTCCGCAGCACGACGGGAGCCCCCCGTCGTCACGAAGGAACCTATTTTTCTAACCAGAACTCACATGTTCTGTATTCATTTTGTAAATTCTTCCTTTAACTTTTTTTCATAAACTGTTATTACTCTTGTCGCATTACACTGTGCGGTCCGAGAACCGATCCGATACATCCATCACAGGTATAACAAAGGACTGAAGTGAATCGTATAATTCAGTGATAAAATGTGAACGCCACTCATGTTGGAAATTTTGGTAAGTGCTCTAAAGACGTTTTCTTAGACGACACTTTCCACACAACAGGGTACAACCCAGGACTAGCGACTTTGATGGTCCCGAACGGAAGATGGATCGCGGGTTCCCAAAGCTATTTCATACCTTCCTTGGTAGGACCAATATGAGTATGAACAGCTTCACTTTGAAGCCTTTCTGCTGAATGGTACGATGCCTTGCAGCAACGTGCAGATTTTTTTTTATCGATATGCAAGTCTTAAGACATTCCTTCAGTAAAGACGACAGAACAGTGGAGTTGAGAATATTTATTACTACCCC